GAGGATACAACCTTGAGTGGAATTAAAAAGGCAACTCTAAGAAAATAGTAAACCTTTGATTCGTAAAACTCATAGTTATTTTGTCCGGGTCTTGACTAACCTTCAAGACTTAGGACGCTCGGGTCGGGTCGAGGGTACGATCCGTCGGAGATCTCGTCTTTTCGGGATTTTGAATTAAGAGCTCTTTGGGAGCGAAGCACGCGTCAAAGGTATAATTCTTGTTCTTAATCTTGTTTGATTAAGTTTATTATGCTTGTTAATTGCTTTAATTAAGGGGCGGGTCTTGGTGGGTTTCCTTCCGCGTAGTGTCGGGTCACTACGAAACCCTACAGCGTCGACCTCCTTGCATGGTGGAAACAACAAAGCACGAAACATCCAACTTTGGCGGCAATGGCACGAGACATTCTTGGTATCCAAGTTTCCTCCGTTGCTTCCGAACGAGCTTTCAGCGCATCCGGGAGGGTTTTAGACGATAGAAGAACAAGTCTAAAACCCGAAACACTTGAAATGTGCGTGTGTTTCTAAGATTGGTTGGATGCGTAAAATCGCTCACAAGACCGTTCTTACGACGACAACGACAACGATGAAGGAACCTTCGCTTCCGACCGTTCGGGTTCGGGTAGTTCCCAATCTATGCAACTAGCCGATGACCTTGAAGCCGAAGACGAAGACGAAGACGCACAAGAAGAAGAAGAAGAATAGACAATTTTTGTATATTGTACGATGTCTATCATTATCAATATTATCATTTTACGATTTTTATCATTATCCAATTTTTGTTTAATATCCTTGTACGATTTTTATCATTATTATCATTGTACAATTTTTTCAAGTAATAATAATATGAAGTATGCATTATTCACATCCAAAGTCCAATTTGTCTAATTTCCCGTTAAGTTATAATTTGTAAATTAATATAAAAAAAATTATAATAATTAATAACTAATAATACAAAATAAATATAATAAATTATAAACATTAAACTATAAAGTAATAGTATAAACTAAATATATAAATATAAATATTAAATATAAAAAATAATAAAACATAAATATTAAACTTAATTTATTTTAGAAAAATAATAATATAAGATTATAAGTTATAAACTATTAATAAATAAATAAATTAAAAAAAAGGGAAGGAAAGGCAGCAAGCCAGCCCGGCACGAGCCCGCCTGGCACGTGGGCTGTGCCGTGGCGTGGGCTGGCCAGCGAATTTAGGTGGCACGACATGGCACGGCCCGCCAGGCACGACCCGACACGATGCACACCTTTAGTCCTAGGTTTCTAAAAACCTATTACTGGGCACATATTTCCAGACCCTATAAAAGGGAGATGTTCCCTCTGAGGAACATCATCAGAAATCATTAAACACACGCGTACATTACTTGCTGAGCATTAAATCCAACTTTAATTGCGTTACTTGAGAGCTAAGGCTCGGATCCCGAGACTGACTCAAACAATCGGATGATCACTCCCCTTCCGAGAGGAGCCTGATCCCCTTTACTTTCCGCACCTTTAATTCCGAACACGTTCTAACTTGATCATCGAAGGCGGAACTCCCACCCATAGGAGTCTCCGTTGTTTTTCAGGTACAGGCGTCCATAGATCAGTCTTGATGTTGTAACTCTCCCGCAGGACATCCAAAAAACCCCGAAACAATAGTATTGGAAAAGTCGACCCATACACTTTATTTCTTGTGTTAAATAAATTTGTTTTATTAAAATGTATGTGTTGATACACCTTATCAAATTGGTAATGATAGTGATCTATGTTTCCCATGTGCTCGGTTCGAGCTTGGATCCGGAGGAACTATTAACATTTTTTTTACATTATAGTGTTCATTGTAGACTGTATAAAAATAAATTTTGTGATACAAATAATGTGCTGATGCCCCTAGATTAAATGGCTATGAATGTAGTTTATTACCTCGCGTGTTGGGTTGGTATAAATTTTTAATATTAACAATGTGTTTCTCAGATGGCCCAAATTACTGGGGCGTGTACTGTGAATTTCATACTGTAATTATTTTTGTTCTTCCCCTGACAAATTTACATTGACGCATTGCATCACTGTGTTCCACTTAATTTTTTCATTTTTTTTTTATTTGTTTATAATTTAATTTAAGCTGGTAGTTAGTTTATTTTCAACATGATATTCAAATTTGTCTCTAATTTTTCATTTGAATTGAAACAACTCCAATTTCAATTTTATTTGTAAATGTTAAATTATTGGTCGATATAGACAGTGAATTTGAGGGTGTAGATGGGTGAAATGACCAGTGCAGTGTTTAGAGTCTTTCATGAGGGTAAGCTTATTTTTTTATCTAGAACTGCATTACAAACATGGTGAGTCCTTCACCGTTGAATTCATTGAAAATGAGTTCGCGGCTGTGAGATTGAAGGCATTAATTGATGGGTTTGGGTATGATGTTTATGGCATAAAATATGGTCCCCTGAATTGTAAGCCTGTCGATTTGCTGGATCTGGTGGATGGTGACGGTTTCAACAAATTAAAAGAGGTGGAATTCACCAGTGGAACGGTTAATGTATTTATCATACATTAACAACCATTGAAGGCAGAGGTTCGTAGAAGGAAGACGCATGTGCCCTCTCGTAAAAGGCCAAAACATGTGGTACCAAATCAAATACAAGAACACTCAGAAGCTAATGCCGTAGCATTGCCAAAGGTACTCCATGTTAAATTGCTTTGTCTGGAATTTGTTAATTGCAATTTTTATGGTATGTATGTGAAAAAGGGTTATATAACAATTTTTTAATTACTGTAAATTTTAATTTCATCATATTAATAATTATCTGATTCTATTAATAATTTTTTGATCCTAGTCATTTGATACTATAAATTATGCTTTGATTTCACCAAATAATTTTAGTTCATTAATTTAATTAAACATGCTACTTGTGACAGCTTGCTGGTGTCAACAAGAACCTTAGTTCGTTTGTTAAACTAATTGGAAAGTTGAATGAGGATCAAAGAAATTGGGTCGTGGAAATAGGTTTTGGCAATTTGCTTTATCTCTTCGTTACAAAGATTGATCAATTCTTTATTAGTTGGATTGCTTCAAGGTTTGATCCTGTAACCCGTTCACTTAAAATAAAGGAGGACTTGATAACTGTTTTGGATAGTGAAATGGTCGGATGGGTTTTAGGAGTTCCAGGTGGAGACATTTTGTTTAATCTAGAAAAAGCTTACTATGAAGAATTCAAACAATTGAAAAAACTGTTCAAGGAGAATTCACTGCGTGGTGCCATCAAACGGTCTAAGGTGTATCAGGAACTACGTTATGAGAAATATAACAAGTCAATGTTCAAGCAATACTTTCTACTTTACACACTAGGTGTACTGCTCTGTCCAATGGATAATAAAACCTGGATAAGTTCTTTCCATGTATATTATTTGCATAACGCAAGTAATGCGTATGATTATAATTGGGGGTAAGTACATGTTGGACTGGTTTATCAAGTACAGTGATAATTGGGAGGGGGGGGGGGGGTGGGGGCTAGGTTGCGGAGTACTTTTACTCACGGTAAGTTTCCTTAACAAAGATATCTTCTACAATGATTGTTCCAAACAACATACAACACATGATTTCCTTTTGTTTATTGTTGCAGCTTATTTACGTAGACCGAATAAGGCATGCAAGTACCGTAGAGTGGAATGCTAATGGATGCAGGATTTGTGAATGGAGAGAGGACATTGTTGATACGATAATAAAATCTGACCAAAGTCACCAAGGTCGTTATGGAAAAGCAAAGGTATTAACAAGATATTGTAACCTTATTACATTACCAATTAAAGTTGTTAATTAGTTTCATTTTGAGTTCACAAATAATTAACCATACACCTATGATTTAACAGGATGTTGAAGGTGTTGTTTATGGAAAGCCATGCCCAATGAATTAAGGGAATTACACACCACAATGTTGATTACAACAATTTTTTTATTTTTTTCTTGGTGTACTTTCATAAGATTATACCTTCAAAGTTATAGTTTTTTGTTGCTGTATAAGCTATATGAAAACTGTGTACACTAATGTATTGTATTAGTTGTATGTGTACTATAAACGCTATAATATATTGTTAATGTAAAATGATACTTAAAATACCAATTTGATTCGTTGTATTATGGGAATAAAATAATATTTTTCCAATGGTTAATATTTGAAATAACAACGGTCAAGAGTCTTTTCTATAAATTTATTCTATGCTATATTTCAATAACATTAATATATGAAGTGTTTTCATACGAAGCTTCAAACACATACATATAAAAATTGAATGTTAAGATGATTTTGGTAGAAGAAACTTCCTCCAATAATGAATCATTCTCTTCTTCTAACCACCTTGATGACTCCGGCTTACATTCATGTAAGCACAATCAACCAGCCAAGAAACTAGTGTGCAAAAATACATCAAACGCCGAACGGAAGTTTTACAACTGCTCGTATTGGAAGGTGAGGTTACATCCCAACTGTCTTTTTAAATAATTCTGTTGTTTGGTCTATTCACATAAACTTGTATTTATTTCCATGTATAGGATGATGATTATGGCTATTTTGCTGGAAGATGAAGCAAACCAGGTTGAATATAATAATTTAAGTTGTACAGTGACGTAACTAAAGGAACAATGCATGTTGTTGAAGTGCAAGGCAGACAAGTTAAGAGTAGAAAATAACCTCTTACTCGAAAAAATATCTGAGATGAAGAGTTATTCCAACACATTGGTTCTCAAATTGTTCAATAGTGAAAAGGCAAACATGGATTTGCTTATCAAGATCATGGATAACACAACTGGTGATAAGTGGATGTATAGATTTGGTATTTTCTATATTGCATTGTCTATAGCTTATGCAACCAAGTGGTAATTATTGAATGTCAATATTACTTATTAATTGGAATAAAAATCGGTTTTAGACATTTATTTTTGTTTTATAATATGATTCCACAAATAAACATATGATTCTAAAGATAATAATATGATTTTGGGAATTCGTAATGATGCTGTTTAATACAAGATATAGGAAAACCTGTTGAATAGTTCAGACTAATAGCAATTACCCAGTCCCAGTTTGACATGAACCTAGTAAATAAAATGTTCATTCAGACTTCACACTATGACTAAATCTACATAATCAGACCATTTATGTCGTTCTTGGCTTCATTGCACGTCGCCATTAACAACCTCCAAATCATGAACTTTCGAAATAGGATATCATTTTTTTCATACATCTGCAAATTAGAGGAACACGTGAATGTCAATATTATGTTAAAAATACAAATCCTAAACATTTTGTTGAACCAAATACTTACACGAAGCCATGAGAAAGTTGATTGAGTTTGACTGAACAGGAACAAAATACAAAGCATGCGTGTCATAGAATGATGTTGCTTTTGGTATGTCATCACACTTAACATACTTATACTTTTCAACGTCGGGTGTTGGACCTTCAATGAGGGCATCTATGGTCATAGAAAGATCCTGCTTATAAAAAAAAAAACATAATCAAAATTGGGTGGTAGGAGATTAGCCAAACAGATTTACATGAATGTATGATTGGATCACCACATTATTGTACTTACCAACACAATTATCCTTTGCTCGTGCCTTTTGTTTTCCTCTTCCTCTTCTCGAAATCTATTATAAATACTTTGCGACATTCCACGTTGATAATGTAAACACATCATCCTCCGTTGACAAATATGGGCAATAATCACCTGTCCCATTTATAACACATATCCACAAGTAAGGAGTCAGTTAGCATATGCTCCCAGGTTGGAAAATTTGGGTCGGGAAAGATCAAAGAATGAACAAGTTAGTAGTCTGTTATAATGGTAACATAGAGTTAGAAGTGAAGATACACCTTTCCGTTTATTCCTGAATTTTTTCTCTTCTCCCATGAAAAATTTGTCAATCCTGTCCGATTCATCCATCAATAATTGTTCTACCGCAGGCTTACTTTTTGCATCCTCTTCCAGTAGGTTGCACTGGAAACAAAAGTCAATGATATAAAAGTTGAAATAAACAACTATAAAACAGTAGCTAATTATGTGAAATTGGCAATATCCAGCCAAAATCATGTACCAAAAATGATGGCCTAAAGACGTATAATCCATAGTCTGAACTTCCGGAGCATTCGTAATTTATGTGAATTGTAAATGCGTCCATGACATGTTTTTTGTTAAAACCCAAGATTAAAAATGTCTTGAACGGCATATGCATGCAAGACCTACTCTTTAAAAGGGGATTGATTTATAATTAAAGTATTACCTGTAATGGAATGGGAGACTTCTTCTTACATGCTTTGTGTACCTTTTGACGGTTGACTGTGACATCATACCATTTGAACAAAATCTGATCCTTAAACCTGTTTGATTGAAACACTTATCATTATCTAGTCCTACACAATTTAGTTAAAACAGGTACACATAATGGAAAAACTTGTTACTCACCAACTGTAGTTAGACTTATTGTCACAGATTGCCGTGATTCTTGCTCATTGGAAATCATAAATCTGGGGTAAGCCTTCATTGTCATCACAGTCAGTCAGGTAATCACTGTCGTCTTCCTCATCCTGGTCTACATTCTTCCCACCTTGGCCATCATCTTCCTTCCTTTCATCTGCGCCATCAACAGATTTCTTAGATCCCCCATTATCATTCTCTGCATTGTCAGCCGGCACATCATCTTTCGTTGCTTTGGGGGTTGGCACAACTTCATCGAGGTCGTCATCATCTTCATCATCATCATTGTCTCCATTATACGGAGGATCACTTTTAGTTTGTTCATCATCATCATCATCATCATCATCTGTCTTCCTATCTTCCTCATCCTCTTCCTCACTGGTGTCGTCACTGCCTAATTCCTCCTCACTTGATTCTTTTTTAGCTTTTGCAACTTTCCTTTTCGAGCTTGCACCCTTGGTTGTTGTTTTTCCACCCTTCCCAGTGGGTCTTGTTTTCCTCGTTTTCTTTTGAATCTAGTAAAATCAATATCATGCTTTTATGAATAATAAGCTCCTGTAATTTATAATATGATACTGTTCTGTATTTGCATATAGGCAAGACATGGATCCAAAAAAAAAAAAAATATAGGCAAGACATGATTAACTAATTTCAAATATAATGCCATAAACTTTATCTTCAAGTACTATACATTTGTAGCCGCTTCAACAGGTTTGTTCCTTTTTAACAATCTGCTTGATGCCCTTGTAACCCTAACTGGGGTTAAAGCATCTAGAACTACACGAACTTCTTGAGAGATCGCAAACAATAGGATACAGTGAGCATTGATGGTCATACAAAGCATAAAAGTTAACACCACAAGTTATACCTGATTCACAGAAGTAGCCTTATCTTCCTGATTCTTTTTGTACCTTCTCTTACTACTTTAACTACCACCTGCAGTGGGGTGTTCATCAGGTTCTTCGCTGCCTTTTAGAAAAGTTAAACTTATCAATAATCTGATGAATAGCATTCACTTTACTTAGTTATATTCACTTTCATATTACCTCTTCTTCGCCGGAAGAACTCAGGTGTTGAATGTCTTTGTAGTCTTTCAATTCCCTGACCTTTGCTTTGCATTTATGTATTTTTTGTTTCCTTTCCACGATAGATTTTTTAGGATTCACATCAGGCACTGGAGGGACAGATGGAACCGTCATCCAAACAGGAAGGTTCTTAGACGGACCAATAGGGTACTCTTTCCCATACACAACATCCCTAACAACCTACACAGAATTCACCAGATCAGAAGCAAGCTCCACACCTCATGTAGGAGAAACAAGTTGTAATTGTATGCAAATCAACCATATTTACGTCTGCCGCACAATACGAACCATCTGCTGCAGTGTCTGCAAGAATTGCCTTTTCAGTTTCATCCTGCTGCCACATTCTAAGCCTTAGTTTATCGGTATGCCATTGATGCCCCTTATCGCCTAATTTCAATCTGTCCAGGTAGGCAATTGGTATAGGACAATGTTAATATTAGAACAACAATTATTGCTAGGCTAGTAAAGTAACTGATGACTAACCATTAGGACAATGGCGGATCCCTTGACGCCACCCTTTTCTTCATCCGTTTGTCCGTGCAGCTTGATCATCCAATCAAGCACAAATTTTGCAAAGTTCCAACTCATTGCATCTTCTAGGTACCACGTTTTCGACAGCCAGCATAAATGTGGACTAATCCAAATGTTCAGAGTTGTACATATTAAATTGCCAAATACAAACAAAATAAATGACTGCAAGAACCTATCATTGTTATTCTTATTATAATCTATATCTTGCTCCACAATGCCATAACTTATCCCCCCTCTGTTTGAATAGGAAGTCTTCAACTTCTTGAACTCTTTGTCCCCTACATTTAGTATGCAACATAAGAAAGAAAATAAAAATATGACCTTGGTAAAACAAGTGTACATATAATACAATTGGAGGTTATAAATATTGTTTTGATTTTGATAATAATTTTCCGATGCTGTAAATACTTTTCGTAGTACCTGTAACATGCTCTTCAATAGTGGATGTGAAATCACCGAATGGCAGCCCATATATCCACCCCACCACTTCATAATTGATCTTGATCTCATAATCATCCCTTATGCGTAGTACCTGGGTTTCAAGATCCCACCTACCCATTAACCACGACAGAAAATACCTGTCAACTTAGGTAAACTTCACATCCAGCAGTGTGGAAAATCCTACCAGCCTCACCCATTCCTTTTGAATGCCCAATTTTGCTACCAAGTCGATAACTGTGTCTGCATAAATCCTTATGACGGGATACTGCATCACAAAATGTAATGTGATTTAGACTGGTAACATTGTAATAAGCTAAAGTAATTTCTATTTAAAACATTGTCACATTTATATTTTAGTTAAGATAAAACACTCACAGGCTTATTTTTGTTTGTGTTTAGGGAGGGATGGCCTTCCACTCTTTTTTTACCTTGCCCTGCCACTGTCTTCATTTTTGTTTGATCAGTTTCTTCTTTTTCTTCGCCTTCCGTAATGATAATCGGAACGACATTTTGGTCTGCGATTTCCTTTCCTTACAACGCTTCCTTTTTCTTGTGTTACTCTCTTCTCCTACTTGCGGTTCCTAGTAAGTTACAATGCAAATCATTGAATCATATTATTTCTCACAGGATCTACAAATTGAAATATGGATCTATTATCTATTAATCAAAGAAAAATTACATAAGAAGTTACCTCATCTTGTATGGTCTTATCCCCAACTTCATGTCCACCATGTTCTTGAGGCTTATCCTCACCTTGTCCACCATCCCCTTGTCCAACATTCCCTACTAGTGGAGGCTATTTACATGAAACACAAAATAGTCAGATTCATTCCAAATTTTATATAATACAATAATTTAAATAGGAATGAACTTGATTTTTAAAAAGATTAAAGATGTCCACTCTTCATTTGATGCCATTTTAGCAAATGTACTTGTGTCTGTCCTTGTAGGGGTATGAATTCCTTCAACTGTGTCAGCTTCTCCCATGGCCTGATCTGTTGGAATGTTTTGATTGAGTTCAATACCCGACGATGCTTGGCTACTAACAGCTATACTAGGATCCAGACTTTGATCCCCTTTTTCCACTGCTAGTTCTTTATTTGATTCATGTTGTAAAGTGAAATTGATCTCAGATTCCCTTTCTTTGTGTTATATTTTCTTTAACCAAAAATTATTTAATAATATCATTTTCTTTATTAAGGAATCATTTTTGTATTAATAGATTCAAGGCTGCAACTGTCCTAGTTTCCTCTCTGACACCTGAATGTCCACCATGTTCTGTGGTCTTAGAGCCACCTTCTTCTCTACCACTCCCTTGTCCACCATTCCCTTTTGGTGGAGGCTTTTTATATTTAACACAAATTAGTCAGATTCATTCCAACTTTTACTTAATACATTAATTTAAATAGGAATCATCTGAATATTTTAAAAGATTAAAGATGTCACCTCCTGATATGATGTCAAGTTAGCACTTGTACTTGTGTTTGTACTTGTAGGGTTAACAAATCGAGCAACAGTGTTTGCTTCTCCCATGGCCTGATCTATTGAATTATTTTGACTGAATTTAGCAATCAATGATTCCGTTTTACTAAGAGCAATACTAGGATCCTGACTTTGATCCCCTATTTCCACTCCTAGTCCTGTAGTTGATTCCTGTTGTAAAGTGAAATTGATATCAGTTTCCCTTAATTTGTGTTATATTTTGTTTACCAAAATTATTTTATAATATCATGTTCTTTATTAAGGAACCATTTTTGTATTAATAGATTTCAAGGATACACTTACTACAGCTTCCTTAGTTTTCTATCTGACAATTGTTGATTAGTCATTCTTATCTTCATGTTGTATACTGACGACTTGAACTGTAGGATCCACATTTTGTTCCTTTGTGGTGGGTTCTCCAGCTCCCACTGAAGTGGTTGGTCCATCCTTTGTTGTTTGAATACTTGCATCACCAATTGAACTTACAATTGTATCCTCTAGTGCCTCTTTTCCTTCTGTTAATGTCAGTGTTGGTACATCAACTGTAGGAACCCCTGTTTCATTCAATGATCCCTCTGTTCCTGCTGGTATTTGGTCAGGTCCCAAACCCGTTGTTGCCTCGTTACCAGTTTCAATACTAGGATCCACTATAGTATCCTTTTGTGACCCTGTTACTGCTGAATTTTTTGCCTGCACAAAATGCGAC